TCCTGATCAAAAATAACACCAAGGTTCTTTACATTAGAACTGGAGGCCAGATTAATGCCATCCAGAGGAGGTGAAAGGCTACATAGTTGATCCCTAAGATGTTCAGGTCCAAGAACCAGAACCTCTGTCTTATCTGAGCGACTCCTGCAACAAAACACACATCTTTATTCACTTGCATGCTGAAATAATTTAGTTCAAGTGTAAATAACTCCAGTGGTAATGAAAGAAAAACACTATTAATGTTTGATATCATTGAAATGATGTTTGTCAAACTCAAGGCCCGCAGKCTAAATGTGGCCCTCCACAGCATTTTATATGGCCCGTGACAGTTGTAGCCGTTGAGTTTTCAGCTGTATGTTAATATCTTAAAATAAATGAATGCTGCTTTAAAGTGCCTGTGACATGCATACTTGTATATAGATAAGTTGACTTTCAACACACTGTCACCTTGTACWGATGGTCTGTAAATTACATAAAATATCCTCATTTGCATCATGAATACAGATGAAAATCTCTGATTTTTTTTAAACCAGAAACTCGGAACAAAAGTTTTTTAATATCTCAGAGCCTGAGGTCATGTTGAGCTGTGCCCTCCTCCTCCTCGCACTGTCCGCAGACAAAACCGCTTCACACGCACACAACCCCACTCCATCATCAACAGCCACTCCCCCCGCCTGCACTTCATTGTATCGTGTGATTGTTAAGAACATATAACAAACAAAAAGTTCAATCCCACCATAATTTTTTTATAAAGGCATGGGGGTTACATGCACTCACCAGCTGAGTATATTTAATATTTTCAACAAAAGCCACACAAATATCCACCTTTTAGTCTAACAGTATGCACACTGTTTGTTTGTTGTTGTTTTTACCTTTCTTTCTTTCTATTTCTGACAAAACCTGTTTTCCACTTTCTAACACTCAGGTGGGGAGGAGGACAGCTGTGATCTCCATGTCCATCACCTCTAGTGACAACTCTGGACCACTGAAGAGTCCTCTGGAGCAGTCTGAACTTTTCAGGAGAGTAAGAGTGATTCTGATAACTGGTACTTGCACTTAAGTCTGAGAGTAGGAGCAAATCTAAGAAATTTTCAACACTTAAGTCTAAAAATCCWCTCTAAGAAGTTTGATAAACACGGACCCTGATCAGCAGAAACACTGATTTTTGATGGACTGACTCTGAACTGTCTAAAAGTTAAAATACATTTYAAAAGTAAAAGACAGGGCTGAATAATGTGGAGGTAAATCACTCAGCTTCACAGCTTTAATAAAGTTTTAAACACAAACAGTTTTAGTTTTGGGGCAGTTAGGTGAAAATTTAATGTTTTTATTTCAATAAATCCTCCCGAACTAAGGTTCTGACACAGTGAGAGCTAAAATAAACTTTGAGCACAGAAACGGTTCAGGATGAAGACTAAAGCAGAATTTAACTTTATAAATGACGTCAGGAATGAAGCCAATCGTCACGAGGTCCACATGCTGTTTTAAATCAGGTTAGATTAAAAGAGATTTATTTTTAAATGATAAAATGTAAAAGTAAAACCTTGTTTCTGCTCAGTCAGTGTAGAGGTTTGGACAGCAGAGGGAGTAAAAGCATCAAAAATGAGGCCGAAGGATCTAAATAAGCCTCCAGATTCTTCTTACTGACGCTTTAATTTGAAGTTTTATTTTTATCTTAAACACACGAAAGCAACTTAAAACAGTTAAAGTATTTTATTAAAAAAAAAACTTAAAATAAGTTGTTGGTGCATTTTATTCTGCTTTTCCTGTTTTGTTTTGTTTTTACAATTTATTAACTTTTACAGACTTTTTATCTGCTCATAAAGATAAATGCTGCAGGGTTCAGCAGGTAGGTCCTAAATTAGACTTTAACTACAAATAAATCTCTTCTGCTCATTTTAGCTGCTTTTAGGCTTTAGCAAGTGTTTGGCTACTTTCATTAGCATTTAGCTACTGTTAGCTGGTGTTTTAAAGCCCAGACTGTCTTTTTTCTTGTTGGTTTTGTTGTTTTCTCAGAATCAGTTTGAGGAAGTCCTTGTTTCTGGTTGATGGGTCAGAACCTCACCAGGACCAGCAGGTGGACTCAGCTAACATAAAAAACTAAATATAATATTAGGACCCTAAAACCCACTTCCTGTCTGTGTTTTCTGCTTGAGGAGAGAAACGTGCTGGACATACCTCGACCCGAACCTCAGCAGAACCGTCCAGTCCGACGTGTGGAAACTCCTGCAGAGCGCACGCGCAGCGCTGACTGACGCACCTGAAACGGAGCGAGTTCAAGGTTCTGTTCGGATCGTTTGTTTTAAATCTCTAATTTCATGTTTGTGTCAGATAAGAGACTTTAAATGTTTTGATGTTCAAATATTTCTGTTAAATTTTAGTAACTCAAAGACGTTCTTTTATACACAGAATGATAAAGTCAATCTTAAATTGACCACAATCTGTATTTTTCTGTCAAATAGACGGTAAAATAAAAGCATCTAAGGCACAGTTTTTTTATTTAGTAAATCACTCACTGACTCACTAAAGTATTTTGAGCCAAATAATTTTAAAAAATGACACAAAAGACCTGAAATTTGAGTTTATTTCGTCATTAACAGTTTTCTTACACAGTAATATTCCATCATGAGCAGAACAAACCAAACAGGTCAGAGGTTCTGATGTCAAATAAAACATCTGAGATAATCAATTACCTGTCAATCAATCATTAAACCAGTCATTAAACCAATCATTCGCAGTAAAAAGTGAGTTCCAGTGAAAAGACAAAAACGTCCCAAGAATAATTAAAAACCCGTCTGGCTCAGAGTAAACAAGGAGTCAGGATGACCTGGTGCAAAGAGAAGCAGATYGTTTCACAACATAACGGATCGATCAGCATCGACAGTTTATAAAAACTGTTAAACCTGCAGAACCCCACAGAGGCAGACCCGGTTCTGCTTGAGACAGCAGCACTGGAACAGAACCGGTCCGTGCATGTCACGCCTGAGTAAACAGGAGGATAATAAACGTGATGTAAGCCCCTCCTCTTCCTCCTGAGCAGCTGTCACTTCCTGTGACAGTAGCTGGTGTACTCGCTGCAGGCCTTCTGCATGTCCCTGAGGAACCCCGGGACCCCGGACTGTCAGAAACAYAGAAACACTGGTCAACATGAAGGAGAGGACTGATGACATCAGCCTGAAACACATGGAGTGAACAGAAMCAGAGATGGAGGGAGGGAGTGGGGCTCCCAGAGGCCTGTTAGACCCGGGTCAGAACTGGAGATTCTCTTATATAAACAAGAAACTGTCCACTGCAAAAACTGTCCACTAACCAAGTTTTAAAACCTTATATCAGCCAAAAAGTCTTTTTGATCTTGTTTTGAGACTG